AGAGAGAGAGAGAGAGTAATGGACTCGAACGGGTTCACGGATTTTCTTAAATCGATCTTATGAATCATGGATTCGCGGTAGGACCATCTTGTCTCGGAATTTTTTATATAGGAGCCGTGTCATTTTTTACGAGAGAAAAAAATCTGGAAGTGTGTGTGTGTGTGTGTGTGTGTGTGTGTGGGAATCTTTCGTTCCTTGCCAAGCGTATGTATCACGGAATAATGATGATTCCCGGAATGACCGGGAACATTCAAAATTGCTCTTCGTGCAATCCTAACGAGACGTTCGTAAAAATCTTGCGAGAGGAAAGACGGCGTTGTTAACGCGTGTACAACACGTGGATTTCGGATGGAGATGACGCGAAACGATCGCGGAAACAATCGGCAAATCCGGTTGAAAATTCGGCTTATTTTTGAATCTGGCCATAGTCCAGCTAGACTTCGACGTGGACGTTGAACACCGCGACGATGGAGGGTCTCTATCGACTCTGACGGTTCGTTACCTCCTTCGCGAATCTTTCCCGGCCGACGCGTGTATCTTTGAGATCGACCGAATCGTCCCGAATCGTCGCGCAACACTCCGTTTTCATTCCGTAGGTGTGTCTCGAATTTGGACCGACCTGGCGCTTAGCCTTGACGTGGGCTCCCAATAATCCCACGGATGCGATACGAATTTGTAGCTCTTGTTACGAATAACTTGCAACATATATCCTATAAATAAAGATGATGCCGGTTCTTTGATATTTACGTATCTAATAATAATGCGACGCGTTATCGGCAAGCCAGAACGATCCACCGTATCGAGAACGGATCCGATCGATTATGTAATTTTTTTTCATCCGTCTGTCACGATCATCCTTCGTTCCAATTCATCGATCGGGATTGTGAACACCTGTCGCATCCTCGACAGATTTCAATTAATTATTCGCTTTAACTTATCATTATGTCCGAGAGAACGATACCTCTTACGATTGTTGTCATTAATAAACCAAAATGCAAATAATAATTTCCGGGAGAGTCTATTTTGCAGAGTCATTCTGTTGCCAACGCTTTGTAATTAGATAAATTCCTCCCCGGATTCAACGTCGTTTCCTTCGTTTCGTTTAAATGTTGTTTCATTCCATCTACGATCGAACGATCTTTGCGAATTATTTTTTTTATGCGCGAGCGATATCTCTCTCGGGTTAAAACCTATCGACGTAGTTGGAATTTAATTAAACGATCCCCGAGGAAGCGCGATTAGACCGCGAAACATGCGATCACGTGTCGCCTTTCCGTACGCGCGTTTCGTTTTTACTCTCTCTCTCTCTTTCTCTCTCTCTTTCTCTCTGGAATATCGTTTCTTTTATTCATACAACCTATACAACCAGAACATTTTTCCCACTGTAATTCTTCTCGCACGAGCGGCGCGGATCGGCAATAAAGTCGATGATGTATCTCCTATACGCTTCTGATCTCGCCTGCTTGTCAATATTTATCTTCTTTATTGCCGATAATTTAAAAAAAAAAAAAAGACGAATGTTCCCGAGAGGATTCGAAAAATAATTCAACAGCGTTCAAAAATCCGGACCAGGATACAAAATAGAATTTTGTATTTTCCTCTCGAAAGACGAGACAACGAGATATCGTTCTTCGATTATTTTTACATTTTCAAAACGAAGTTAACCATCTGGAAACAACGGCAGAGAGTCGTTTCGCGGGAATAATTCTCCCCTTGTCCAAGAATCGACACCGACAGAATGAAGATCGGACAATTCGGTCCCGCAGAAAATATCGTTTACTCGCCAAGGACGGGAAAGTTACAGACTTTAATGACGTTCGTGCTCGCCCACGACTTCTGGATGTGAATCAACTCCGTATTTCTTCGTTTAGAAAATAAATAGGATAGTTACAACGCTCGATCGGCGAATATCGATCGGATTATTTTCTATTTCTATCGAATATATCTCCGTTCGATTCCACGACAGATATTCTTGCTTTACGATCGGCAAGGGTTTGATCCGATCGCGGTGAAAGGCCACGAGCAAATGACACGTTGACCTCATGCACGTTGATTAAACGTTGCATACGTGTATGCTCACGTGTATCTGACAATATGCTCGATGAGGATTCGTCTGCCGTCCATATTTCCCCATTGTTATGGGACCGGCGATGTTACTCACCTGACCATAAAGATAAGTTTCATGAATCATAAAGTTAACCATTCTCCGATGGTGTGGCATGGGCGTGAAGCCGTGTGTGGGTTGCACACGTACTCGGAAGCGGATGGGCGCGTTCGTGAATAGCTAATTCGGATTATTAACATCCAATAACCTACTTTATCTAACCACGATATATCGTTATACATATTTACTAATAACCACGTATTTATGAATTTTTTAAAAAGAAACCGTTTGCTTTGCGAACGCGAGTTAAGCCAATATTCTCGATGTATCATTCTACTATTGATAGTAATAACAGGTATTACACGCGATATACAAAACGATAACACTTATGTTTCGAGTGGTTTCCAGATACGGATAGAAGATGATACGAGATACATATTATATTTTCGAACATCCACGGTGGTCTCACGGAGACTTCCGGTTCCACGAAGCGCTCGTTGGTTCGCCATGACAATTTTCCATCGATCGAGCCTGGCTGTAAGTATGATTAAATTTTCTAAATTATCATCCGCCACCAATTTCTTTAATCGCGTTTATTATAGTTTGAACGAAAAGTAAAAATGAAATATAAAAAAAGAGAAGGCGATTACCTGTTCCCGATACTCACGTATACTGCGAACGATTCGCTTTAATTCTCCATCGATTTCCTTCGATTTTTATATCGAATCACCTTCAATTATATACCACTTGGTTTGTGTGTTGCGTAACGAGGCGTATGTAAGCTCGTGCAGACCTGTGAAAAAACATGCGATTGCACAGTTACGACTGTCGATGTGTCGAAGAAAAAAAAAAAACAAGAAAAGAACGTGACCAATAACCCGGGCAATAGTTTCTTTTCGACCTTGATCCTTTTACCCGTGAAATGCGGTGCAGGTGTTTGGCCGAACGATGCAACCGGGCCCTATGCTCTGTCTGCCGTCGTCGTGCTGCGAGCCAACTTGAAACCGGAAGCGCCGCTTTCTGCCCTGCTGCCCACGAACAATGAGATCGAAAGATTCTTACGAGGACGCGAGCACGATCAAACGGGAAGGTGCTTTATCGACATCAGAGATCGAAAATATTCCTTTCAAAGAGAGAGGTGAAGATCCTCCGCGAACAAGTTGCAAATTCGCTTAACAGGACTCCTAGATGCCTAGAAACAGTCCCGATTATAAAATATTCCGTATCTGGTAAAATGCATAACAGTTGAGTCACCTTACCAGCATGTGTAATGACGCGTGGAAAGCAAAAAAAAAGAAAAAAAAGAACAACGTTTGTCGTTTACAGAGAAGATTATCGCACGACACCTGCATGATGATAAGTAACCCCAACTCTAACTTGGAAAATGGATTCTAGAATCCATCGATGGTGTGGCCCACTTGTTCGCCCGCTTCTCCATTTGGCATCTTAGGATCGACGATACGAAAGCAATTAACATTATGTATCGTTTCGTGTTCGTTACCCCTATTGATTTCACGTGTGGATGCAGAAAAGGTATATACATATATATATACACGTATAATCGCAATACGCTGTTTGGCCACTTTAAACGTATAACGTTGGCATCGGGCTCGTCCACACGATCGATACAAACGTCGGGACACAATGAGAAAATCTTTTCACGGCCACTACCGTCACGTGGTTCGCGTATGGACGGCAACAGGTGTGACGCAACAGGTAATCAAACGTTGCCATTATGATTCGTCCGTTTTATTGGACGGGTAAACCTTATTTCGTTGCCGGTTTACATTCTGATCGATGACACGCGTTCTCGATGTCGTGCGTGTCAAGAATCCGAATGATGAGATTCGACTATCCGATCGTTGTTCGCGCATCCGACCAGAAAGAAGAATTCTTCTCTCAAAAATCCATCCCTCCTCATAAATCGCCTAATCTCGAATCTCTTTTACGGTATTACCGCGTTCCCGCTAATAGGATGACCGCGCAAAAACGGGATTCAAATGATATTCCCCGTACGTTTCCCCAACCTTTTCATCGTGAACAATGAAAGAAGGGACGAATGCACTTACTCGGTTGACTCGTGCGACAGGTGTTGCTCGTCGAGTCGCGTCGCGAATCGATCCACGCAGACCCTGGCCGTAGCCTTTTTCTCTGACACTTTCTTCTTTTGCCTGAGCGAGCTGTATTTCCGGTTAGCCACCCGTCTTCGTCTCGTTCCCCTCTTCCACGTGGACAAGCATTTCTCGCTCGACAAATGTGCGCGCCTTCTTCCTCGTATCCCTGTGCTATGTTCGCCATCGCGCCGCCTTTTCATCGAGGAAGGTCGCCAAGTCGCCTGTTGCCAAGTCGACGATGGTCGAGCTTTCGTCCACCACGTGCACGTAATCCGAGAAATCGATATACAAAATGTTGTCATCCATAGCGTTAAAAAAAGTCCTTTTTTCCCCTTCTCCAATTAGGCCCGTTTATAATTATTTTTTTTCCCCCCAGATGGAACGAGAACGTTATCGTCGCTGATTCGTTCGATTTCGAGGCCCGCTCTAAAAGAATTTCTTCTTCGTCGTCGAGCTCGAAAAAGTCGACCCCACGTTCCGTGACGTACGTTAACGATCTCTTATCTTCGTACAGCCTGATTCCTCCCCGGTGTTACCACTTTTGTTGATACTGGTTATATACTTGTCACGTAAACGAGTTGGACGATTTCCGGGTATTCCAGTTGTTCGATTACTTCTGACCTGAATACGACGAATTTTTTTTTCTTCTTTTTTATTTAAAGATTGATAATGATGCCCTCGATGACGTACGTGCATCATTTTCCCTCGAGCTTATCGCGTTGCATAGCCGGACGCTGTGTATGACACGGGAGCTCCACGGGCCCGTTTCTTTATATCCCCCGTGAATTCTTCCAGTGCCATTTACAGAGTCCAAGCTCTGGTACGTGTATCCAGCCTATAAAAAAAAAAACTTCCATTCACAATTAACCGATAACAAATAGGATAAACGATTGGCGAGGAACAAGAAACGAGCGATATCTCTACCCTGTTTGAAGACCGATGGTCGATACGTTATTCGATTACGCGATATTGTTAATCGTTTATCGTTCGATTCGCGAGACATCGTGGAATTATTAATTAATTCACGATTGTGAAAGAACAGAATTTCGATCGAAGAAGAAGAAACGAATTCTTCGCGGATAATTCACAGCTTGCCCATTGTATATAGCGTGTTTCTTTCTCTCTTCTTGCCTCTTCCGTCACGGAACAACGATTCTTCCCGGAAGTCGTGTCCGCTGTATCTGCCGCGGCCTGCCACGATTTGTTCGCCAAGCGTTCACCATCGCTCTCGTCCTTCGAATCCACTGATTTCCCACCGTTTCTCCTCCTCCTGCTCCTCCTCCTCTCTTCTCTCTCTCTCTCTTCTCTCTCTCTCTCTCTCTCCCCTACGAATTTTCGATTTATCACCATTGTTGCTTCGTAACTATTGTTCTTTCCTGGAATTCGACAAGCTTCTTCTCTCTTTCTCTCTCTGTTCCAATTTTTTTCTATTCTCTATTTCTCTTCTTTCCGCTCGTTCCGCGAGGAGCCACGATTTCTCACGGTTACGCAGCTCGTAAAAAAAAAAAAAAAAGGAAAAAAAAAGAAAAAGAAGCATATCGAGGTCAATAGCGGATAACGCACTGTCACCGCGCTAAACAATCGATTATGAATGGTCCGGGAAGGTTCATTGTGAAATTTATTACGAGGCTAGATTAAACCGGACACAATCGAGTCTTGTCGGGAATCGTAGCTTTCGTTTCGTTTTTTTTTTTTTTTTTACCTTTCTTTCGCCATCCCTCCTCCCTCTCTCGTGCGATTGCGTGCCGATTCAGTAGAAACGTGGCTTAATTTACAAACATTAATTCGATCAAGAGAACGGTTTCCAGTGATTTATTATAAAGATGGAACGGTCTGGTATGCAAGGGAATCCGGCCGCCGTGTTTTCCCGTCTGGTTCTCACGATTCGAATCTTCTCAGTGCACCGTATATATATATATATATATAAATATATATATATACCTGCGATTCTTCAACGACTATCTGCAAGTCTCCTCTCAGTTCTCAAGCCGCTCTTCCGGTCATGCTATCATTCCGGTTCTCACGGCTGGGTTCGAAACATCGGGACATGCCGTGGAAAATAATAGTCCCTTCCCGACTGTATGTCTCTAAAACCACGTTCCATCGCGGTGTCTATTCAACGTTCGTTTATATCTACGAGACGAAACGTGGTAATTAGAATCGGACAGACGTGTGTTTCGCGTGGTGGAAACACAATTCTATTCTTCGAAATAACTTAAAGAGTGTAGAAATTACAAAAGATAATTTTTTATTGGCTCGGCTGTGGTTTTCTATCATCTCGAAACCGAGGAAAATGTGACAAAGTGTGTCGCATTGCTTTGAATTATCGATAATTTTCAAACGCACTGTACGATATATTTTTACGATTTTTTCTCTGCCACGCGTTTACTACAAGCTTTGTCAGATATGCAATGATTTACTATGTTTTGTTCAACCTTTTATATTTCGAATGGTACATTTTTTTCTATTCGAAATACAACGCGTTACTTTGATTCTCTCTCTTTCTCTCTCTCTCTTTCCGATTCGTTTTTTTTTTTCATTATTTGAAGAACGTTTTAATTGGTTCGAGAAGCACAACGTGTACGATCGTCGTAATCGTTCCAATACAATAATCGTATCCGAGACGAAACTAAACTTTTCTTATGTGTCAGGTTGTTCATAATGAAGATCGGTTCCCGTGACTGAAAGCAAATAAGGAAAAGCTGTAATAAATACGTGTTCGAAACTGGTTATGCGCTACAGTCGTGTAGAAAACTGCCGGTTTCACTTGGTACCTCTATCTTTCAACCCGTTCCCAAGAGAATATCCCGTCCGCTTTCCGTCCATGTTTTTGCCCACGGAAGGAAGAATTTTTCCAGAGATTCCACGCATAGCCTTCCTCTCCCTCTTTCTCTTTCTCTCTCTAATTCGATTCCATCCCCCTACCTAGGGGGATATCAATTTCGAATTGATCAACGAACGAATTTTTTTCTTCCATAGCGATCTCTCTTCTTGCCAGCTTAACTTCCTTAACGCGATTGAACAGATTCGCACAGAAGAGAGAAACAACAAACCGTGATACCATTTCGCGGTTCGAGCGTTGCGGTTCTCTTCAAATAGGTCAAACGTCGATCGCAGCTTCTGTCTTCGGTGATGCGGCCGATTCGCGAGAAACTCGCGCGCAGATTTGACCCCAAGTCCCTTCCACGTTTCCCGATTGACGCCATGAATCGAATCGACGTTGAACAGGGAGGGGGAGGAGACGGGAGGGGAGGAGGGGAGGGGAAAGGGAGGGGGAGGAGTGGTGGGGAGGTGGGAGGGAGGGAGGGAGGGAAAAAAAATATACACGGCATCGCGGCCGATAATAACGGCGTGAAATATGCAGTCGAAGCGTTCGCGTGCGTTTTCTTGTCCGACGGTCACGCGTGCTGTTTACTGCATTACACACTTGCGTTGCGTTCCTTTACTGACCTTCGTCAAACTGCAGCGTTTCTTATTCGTAGTTATTTTCCGTCGTGCATTGCGTAACGCTTACAAAACGTTACACGGAGAGAAGCGTGCACCGCGATGTGGTGGACCCATGCTAATTCAACGATGATGCGGCTTCCGTGTGATAATCCGTGGAATGCCGATGTCGTCACGCTTTGGAGCGTGAACAAAAACGCGAGGAAAAATGGAGTAAGATTTTTCTTTCGTTCGATTTCTTATCGAGCGAATCCCATTATCGATGAACGGGAGGAGGGGAAGGGGAGGGACAGAGGAAAAAAAAGAACGGAGAGAGGGAAGCGAGCGAGAAATGGATACCGAAAAGAGCGAGAAAAAGAAAAGATGAAACGAAGAATATAGAAAATAAAGGGGGGAGGAGAGAGAGAGAGAGAGAGAGAAGGTGAGAGCGTATCCGAGGACAGTTGGACGCCATGACAAGGAAGATTTGTGGCGCGATGGCGAGGATAATTTGGGGCGAGAAAATGAGACAGTGAAAAAGAAAGGGCACGGGCGATTTAGCGGGGAGGAACCAGGACGAGGATGATGAAAGAGAGCGGCAGCTTGAAAACAATAAAATACCAAACAAGCCTGAAACCGCGCTGGTATAACTTCGTGGCTCGCGACTTTCGAAACCATATTAAATCATGACATAGATTCTCGCTCCTCGAGAAACCGTGGTCGTACGTGTTACGTGGGTGAATTCTTGCCAGGTGATAAATCGATAGATCGCCGAGTTCTATGCATTCCGGGATACGCTTCGCGTGAAAGCTAACGCGAGCCGATATGCAAATACCGGTTACATACTATCGATTTCTTCATTAGTCACGATGTGCGAGTTGCGCGATCGATCGTAATTAATGAACGTGCGTTAATCTTATTCGATCTATACCGTTCGATACAAAACATGATGAATGATATACAAACGATGGAGGGGAAAGAGAGAGAGGAGGGGAGAGAGAGAGAGAGAGAGAGAGAGAGAGAGAGAGAGAGAGAGAGAGAGAGAGAGAGAGAGAGAGAGAGAGAGAGTAGAGAGAGAGTAGTAGTAGTAGTAGTAGTAGTACGTTAGTTACGTT